GTTTTTGTTCTCTTCCATGTATTTCCATGAGAAAGTAGGCTGGATTTCTTTCTTTTCTTTCTTTTTTTTTTTTTCAGGGAGGTTTTCCTAGTTAGGATTTCCATTTCTCTTTAAGTGTTGTCAGTCCTATTTCTAGCTTGACTGGCGATAAATGTGCATGTGTTTGTCCTTAATTGGCAACATAGAACAAACATCTGCACATTGGGCCCATGTCACCAAATATAACTCCTCTTGCTCAATATTAATCAAAAGCCCAGTTATGGGCTATAATTCTACTAACAGATCACTAATTAAAAGCCAGGCAGGATACTCACTCCTCTAATTCTTCTGAAATCAGTCACTGAATTAGGCAGCCTGTCAGAATGTCTCTCTCCACCCTGCTGTAATGAAATGGGCTTTGGCACTCATTGCAGATCCCCAGCCCTGCTCATGCAGGGAACACCTGAGGCCCATCTTACATGCTGGGGAGGTTGATGAAAATAGGACATGGTTCATAAGATCCAGACAGTCTCTTTGATGAGGACTCACAGGAGAAGACAACTTCCATGCTGTAAGTGTGCAGATCCAAACTACATGATGGATTGGGTTTTTTCTCTTGTGCAGCTTGCTCAGGAGCTTGGAGTCAAATCCATGAACCACCGAGAGCAAGTTTATAGAACTTTATGATGCCCCTTTCCTGCTTTATTTTAGATAGAGCCTCACACACCTGAACTTCCACATCCAGTTATATTGTGTGCTGGAGAGCAAGCCCAGGGCTTTGTGCATGCTAGATAAGCACTTTACCACGGAGCCATATTTTAGACAAACATGATTTCCATTTAATATGATTTTGTCTGCAGTCACTGGCTTCTTTAAAAAGTTATTGAGATAAAGCTCAGTATAAAATTAACATAAAATCATCAAGCATTTTAAGATGAATACTTAGCGATGTGAAATATACTTACAGTATATACTTAGTTTCAATGCTGTGTAATACGCATATATATATATATATACATATATATATGTATATATATATATATTTCCAATGCATTACCATCTCAGCAAAAGTGTTGTCTTTACATTTTTCCTTTTGACTCTTTCAAATAAAACCCCCTTGTATTGTGCATGTTTTTCAGTGATGTGTTTTTACAATGAAGCGGGATTTTTACAAACACACAAAAGAACCTAAAGCAAGTCTGAATATAAAAAACCAAGGACAGAACACAAGGATACACACAAGGAGCTTCAAGACTGATGTGGTCCGTGACAGACAAGTCTAATAAAGTGAAGATGGAGAAAAAGCTGCTAACCTGTGACCCTTGGAGTTGTGTTTGTTTCTGTAACAAGTAGTTATGGGCAAAACTGAAGAAGCCTAGCAGGTTACCTAATGGAGACTCAGAAGCCTTGATTGTTTACAAAAGTGTTGGAGCCCATTCCCTGTGGTTGGATGCCATGCTCAGCCTTAATGCAGGGGGAGGGGCTTGGTCCTGCTTCAACTTAATGTGCTAGCCTTTGTTGACTCCTCATGGGAGCCCTTACCCTTTGGGAGGAGTGAATGGGGGTGGGCTGGGTGAAGGCAAGGGGACAGGGGGGGGGGGGGGGGGGGGGGGGGGGGGGGGGGGGGGGGGGGGGGGGGGGGGGGGGGGGGGGGGGGGGGGGGGGGGGGGGGGGGGGGGGGGGGGGGGGGGGGGGGGGGGGGGGGGGGGGGGGGGGGGGGGGGGGGGGGGGGGGGGGGGGGGGGGGGGGGGGGGGGGGGGGGGGGGGGGGGGGGGGGGGGGGGGGGGGGGGGGGGGGGGGGGGGGGGGGGGGGGGGGGGGGGGGGGGGGGGGGGGGGGGGGGGGGGGGGGGGGGGGGGGGGGGGGGGGGGGGGGGGGGGGGGGGGGGGGGGGGGGGGGGGGGGGGGGGGGGGGGGGGGGGGGGGGGGGGGGGGGGGGGGGGGGGGGGGGGGGGGGGGGGGGGGGGGGGGGGGGGGGGGGGGGGGGGGGGGGGGGGGGGGGGGGGGGGGGGGGGGGGGGGGGGGGGGGGGGGGGGGGGGGGGGGGGGGGGGGGGGGGGGGGGGGGGGGGGGGGGGGGGGGGGGGGGGGGGGGGGGGGGGGGGGGGGGGGGGGGGGGGGGGGGGGGGGGGGGGGGGGGGGGGGGGGGAAGAGGAGGGGGGCGGGGGGGGGGGGAGGGGGAGTATGGAGAATGTGGTTGGAATGTAAAATGAAATTTAAACTAACTAACTAACTAACTAAATACATGTACAGAATAGCGAAATAAAGAAAATACTTATAATTTTAAGGCAAAGCAAGTTTAAAGATAAATTTTGAAAGGTACTTATTTTAGAATTAATGAAACTAAGATTGGCTATTTGGAAAGATAAATAAGATCGACAAACTCTTGACCAAACTAACCAAAAAAAAAAAAAGGACCCAAATTAATAAAATTAAAGATGAAATGGCAGTGGCCCATAACTGTCAGAGTGCAGAGAATAAGTGACTGTTGAGTGCTAAGCATCAAATGGGACATCTATGTCAACCTATCCTCAAGGCTCAGAGAATATCACAGAAGACAGTAGGAAAGAGCAGGATGCTGGGGAGGAGTGCTGGGAAATACTGACTTGTGGACATGACTTGGCCATTGTGATCATGGACTCACTGCAGCTATGGTCACCTGTACAAGACCTGCACAAGATTAAGCCATCGAGATGAGTCAGCTTGTTCCTAACTAGCTCTTATAACTTAAATTAACCTTTATTTTTATTCATCTACATTCTATCATGTGGCTTTTACCCTCTATCCTGTTTTGTGTGTCTGACTTATTCTGGATTTGTCTGGTGTCTCCTCAAAACTCTACCCTTCTTCTTCCCAGCATTCTCTCTGCCCTGAAAATCCTGCCTAGCTACTGGCCTTTTAGCTTTTTATTAAACCAATCTGAATGACATTTCTTCACAGTGTACAAAAAAATTATTCCACAGCAAGCTACAATGGATATCAACCATCATTTTTGCTTTAAAAATCATCTGAGTGTTGGTTGTATACAACAAATCATAACTTTTGGTAAAATGGTTAGTGCTATCCCAGAATTATTTTCTTTCATTACAAGATCAGAAACTCTTATAAAATTGGTGTTTCAGGTAGACTAATAAAAATTACTATGTATCTATGAGAAATGCATTATTACACTTTCAAAGTGTTTTACTGTTCCCATACAGGAATACACCATAGAACACTAGAGCTAAAAAGATAATTCAGTTAAGCCTCTGTGCTTCAAAAATGAGAAAAGCAAAGCTAGCGACAGGAAATGATTTGCACAAGGTCAGGATCAGGACCATCGTTCAAGTTTTTTTTTTTTTTTCCCCCAGGTTATACTGTATTTGCCTTGAGTAGACTTACCTTTCTTTAAAAAAAGAAGTTATCTTCGGTCTGATCATATAGCTCAGCAGGGAAAACAGCTGGCTGAGCTTTACTAATTAATAAGTCTCCTTGTCATTTATTTGGGAGCTGGTGGTGGGACAGAAAAATCCACCTAGGTGGTTGACTATAAATAGGTCAAAATCCCTTGATACTTCTTCCATTGACAGTTAAGTCCTGGATTTTTTACTTCTTGAATCTCTGTGATTGCTTAGACATCAGAAGGAGAGAAATGATGCTGTTCTGGGTTCACAAGTGGTTAAAATACTGCCCTTTTCAATATGGCAACCCAACTGTGGAGAAACCCAAGCATCCTTGTGGGGAGGCCCCACATCTGGAGAGTGGGGTCTCTAGCCAACAGCTCTGGGAAAGCACTGATTTTCCAGCAATGTGCTGAAGTCACTGTGAAAATGGATCTTCAATACCAGTTGAACTCTGCCAGCTGGCACATGTTGAGCAGAGCTGTCCTTACCAACCACTGCCCAAATTTCAGATTTAAAGGTAAAATAAGTGGCTATTTTTAGCCATTAACCTTAGTTATGCAACAGACAGTGGCTATGAAATGAATACTTTCTTGTCAGTAGTCATGTAAACTAAGTTCAATTTGTACAGCAGACTCTGTTATCATGACACAAATGTATTTCTGAAAACCCCACATTCTGTAATTACATACCTGTTTAATAGAATCTATGAGGAAAATAGCACTGAAGAAATATTCTATGAGGAGTCCCTTTAGAAAACCCAGCCATAACACAGCCCCAGAGGTATTCACTCTTAGAACTACAGTGCAAGCTGAGCAACCTCAGACCCCCAGCATTGTGTCTCCTAAAAGATATTTTCACCAGACAACCTATAGATTGGAAAGGATTGCCACATGTTAGAGGCCAGCCTTTATGTGTGGGTACGCAAGGTTACACAGTAAGAACTTGTCTCTAAACAAAAATAGTAAAATTAAAAATAAACATGAAAGAAAAAATTATCAGCCAATAAGACTTCAGTGTTTAGTGATTTCCTTATGTGTAATTTACACTAGAAAGCACTCATGAGGTGAGATAGCTCATGTCTGAAATCCCAGCATTCAGGAGTCTGAGTCACATGGGGAAATTCTGTCTCAAAAACAAACATAAGAAAACACACAGTATAGAACAGAAACATGTTAGTGGCATGCAGGAATGACTGACTGAAGTAAAGTTTCAAAGTATAGAACAGAAACATGTTAGTGGCATGCAGGAATGACTGACTGAAGTGACTTTTCACCCCTCTCATCTGTAGCCATACCCCTGGGTCAAGGATTTGGGTCTCATGATGTTTGTTTTAATGGACTCAATTTCAAAGCCTGGAAGAGTTTTCTATTAGTGAAGCTTTGACTTCTGTATCTCTTACCACACCCAGGAAGGTTGGCCAGGATTCTAGGGAGGATTGTTGACTAGAACTGAAGGAAGGGTATTGGATTGAGGGCTCATGTTCCTCAGTAGGAGGTTATTCAGTGGATTCTCTTCTTTTGGTGATACTGGTGACACAAACCTTTCCAGGGTAGAGAAGATGTTTTAGGGAGTTGAGGGAGAGCATTGATGGGTCCTCAGGGAATGTCATCATCAAACATTGGCTCTGTGGGAAGAAACTCACCAGGAAGATCAGGTCCTTCTCTGTCCACTGCCTCAAACCCAGGCTCACTGAGAAGAAATTCTGGACTTGGTGTAGCATCCTGGAGAGTGAATTTGGAAAGACATATGTCAAGAAGGGTTGTTTTTCTGTGCATGAGGAGGGTTGTACTTATATTTTTAATACTGTTACTTATATTTAAGCAAAGAATTTTGTTGTTAGTATGACTTGTCTTTGGAGGAGGAGCCTGGAACTATGTCCTGAAAGGATAACATGGTCTGGCCAGGGAATCTATTTTCTGATCTCTTGTTTCTCAGCTGACAGGTCTTCCTGGATAGGACTAACTAATGAGTGAAATACTTTGAACTGTGTCAGCCATGCTTTCATTTGTAACTTTTCATTTCAAGAGGGCATGGAGTGTACTCAGAATTTCTATTTATGAAAGCTACAGTAAAAACTTGTAGAACACTGAAATTGACGGAGCTTTTAAGTTAAATACAAAAGTTACTACTACATCGATTATTTTTAGTTTCTAATACATTGCTTTACCACCTCCCATAAATAAAAATGTAGGTAAGATTTTAGGAATTAAAAATAAACTTATAAGGGTATTTCTGAAAATCAAAGTTAAGTATATTTTGCTTTAATTATTCATTTAGTTCATAAAAATGTGTTTTATCTGGCTGGAAAGATGATTTAGTAGGAAAAGGCACTGGTCACAAAGCCTGATATTCTGTGTTTAATCATTGGGACCCACATAGTGGAAGGAGAGAACATCTTCTGACCTCTACACTCATGCTATGGCATGTCTGTGTCCCCTCTTCCTCTTCCAATAAATGAATAAATATAAAAAATAAAATTTAAAATTTGTCTTATTAAACACTTAGCAAATCTGACTCAAAATAAAACAAATATGTAACTAAATCCATGGAAACTGAATTTTAGAATATTTGAAACACAGTTAATGAAAGTGGGCTCCTAATTACAGACCTAAAAACATCAAATACTTATACTTAACATTACAATCAGTATTTTTTTCTATTCAGTTTGTAAAACTGATTATTTTATTGGAGGATTTTAAACAGAAGGACAGGAAACTCACTTACCTCAGTGATGTCAGCAAGGGGCTTGGGCAGCCCTGATTGGGTGACAGGTTTGGAGACTGACAATGATCCAGAAACTTCTGGAGTAAAAAACAAATCACAAGGCTAAAATGTTTCTTTTTTTTATGATTTAGGCAATAAAAACAGTTAAGGTTCTAAAGTGTGGTAATAGTCAATTCTTAAGGAGTAGCACTACAACATTAAAAAATTGGAGTTACAGACTAATGGTCATTAATTTGAATGATGCTCTGAAGGACTGATCTAGTGTTGCATCTTGCATGCCTATGCAATGGGAATTGTTAAGAACAGGATGAAAGAGTGGGAGAGGTTGGGTAATGGGTACAACAATCAGTATAAGTAGACAGAAGGAATAAGCACTAGGATTATATTGCTCAGTGGGGTGATTATAGTTAACGATAATGTATTGTGTATCTCATAATTGCTATAGGAGAAGTTTTAAATGCTCTCATCAGTAAGAAATGATACAGAATAAAGTGATAGGAATAATAACCATGCTGCTTTGATCATTATGTGATATACACATGTATCTAATCATAACTTTATATTCCAAGAATGTGTGTAATTATTATGTGCCAATTACATAATAAGACCAATTTCGACTCCCTCCTTCCTCCTGGTTCTCAGAGCACCACAAGAAAGCTCAACAAAGGCACAAGCCCAGAGTAACACTGATGGGAGTTGTCATTCTGTAGTTATGTTTCTCTTATTGGCTATTGAATAAAGCACTGTTCGGCCAATGAGGCAGAATGATAGGTGGGACTAGGTGACAAAGAGGATTCTGGGAAGTGCAGGCAGAGAGTTGTCGTCATGTGATCTTGGGAGGAGAGGACACGAGTCAGGTGTTCTCTGCTAAGATAAGACCATGTACAAATACTTAGATGAATAGAAATGGCTTCATAATTAAGACAGAGCTGGCCAATAAGAAGCCCAAGCCAACATCCAACAATATTATAATTAATAATATAGCATCTGAATGTTCATTTGGGGCTGATGCGGCAGTGGACCCAGGCTGGTGGGAAGAATGCTTGTAACTTAACACACAGTCTTGGAGATGAGTATGAAGTTGCTCACTTGTTGCTTGCATATTCAGAGGCTCTACAACCTCCCTCCAAATTTCCTGAGATAATGATTTGCTGATATAAATCAGATAACAGAACTGCCAGATAATGACAGTTTCATGCCATCTTGTGCTAAAATGGCATTTCCATTGTCTGTCTAATATACTATTTGCAGTGTCTTTGAGTTTCAGGCTTCTGGATCCCCCACAGTATCCTCTAAAGGTCCCCAGCATGTCAGATTATCTGGATTATGTCTTTGGATCCCACTAAGATTGACTTACAAAGATTGTATCAGTGGTTCCTTACCCTCCTCTCTGGGGTGGGTTGCATTAGTGGGCAACCCTCAGGCCTGGAGGTAGAAGTGAGGTCATGCTACTTCTAGCCTTATCGAACTATTCCATTCCTTTGAGTAAAGGAAATTTTTATGGGCAATTCCTCCATCAGCTCTTTTTAAATTAGCCTCATTTGAATATGCCATCTGTTTCCTTATGAAGCCTGACTAGTTTACTGGATGAGAAGATATGTGTACACTAAGCCAGATAGATGGGAGTTCTCCCCTCTGTCCGGGCCCTACTGGTTGAACATGGTTGACCTGACTAAACTGAAACTACTGGATTCTCCTAGACTCATCATTGGTGCAAAGTGATCACCAAGGGCTGATTAAATGAAATGCAGGAGGGAGTGAAGAGAGACAGAAATAGTATGGTACATGATGCAGCTGTCATAGCAATGACTGACTTCACAGGGCCCAAGTGAAAAGGGCAATCCATCATATAGTAATAATTCCTAGCTTCCCTGTCAGAATGAGGATAAACTCAGAACTACAGCATCACCAACTGACCATCACTGAACTGAATCGTCCCCACATCCAAGGAATGGTCTTCGTCTAGTAGTTGGATGATAAGTTTTTTGAGGTTTGTAGTTGTGAGGTAGATTTCCGGTTGCTTGTCTTCTATGGTTCCATGATGGAGTCTTTCATTTTCAATTTTGTTGAAATCAAGGGACAGGAGATCGCTTGCAGGGCCTTTTACTTCTTCATGGTCTCTCTTAAAGATGGCCATAAGTTGTATTTCTGTGGAGCTTGAACTGTGGAGAGCAGAGGACACGTTCCATCCAAAGCCATTGTTATAAGATGAGAGAGTTTCTGTGTTGCTATAAGTCTTCAGGGCAATTTAACCTCTTTTCTGATAGGCTCTTAAAGAATATCCGACTTAAAACATTTCAATATTGGCCATAAACTTAACATATGGAAAAATATTGACAAATACTTTGTTTTAAAGTAGAATGTCAGCCTGGAGATTAAGTCTAGTTCAAAAAGGGATTGCGAATTGATTCCATGCATATTTATATTTTTTAAAAGTGGGAATGGTTCATTGTTAATTGATCAGTGTTTTTGGTGGTGTTAAAATCATGAAGTGCCAATCAGAAAGAGAGATGAATTGGCCCCTTTTCGACAAGATGCCTCTTCTAAGGTCTTTGGACTAGTATGCATGATATATCAGCATCACAATAGGCTATGTATGCCATAACCAAGTAGAATTTCAGTTCTTAACGCCCTTTTTTTTCTTCCATTCTTTTCCATAGAGTATTTTATTATTTTATTTTATATTTTGTTCTTCAAGACAGGGTTTCTCTGTGTAACAGCTTTGGCTGTCCTGGAACTTGCTTTGTAGACCAGGCTGGCCTCAAACTCACAGAGATCCACCTGCCTCTGCTGGGATTAAAGGCATGTGTCACCACTACCTGGCCACAAAGTATTTTTTAAACTAAAAACAAAAAATCAAAATAAATTAAATGAAATAGAGCAAGGAAATAAAATAACAAAGGATGTAAGAAAAGGGGAAGGGAAGCAGTACACAGTGTATGATTAACTGTATTTACTACCATATTTATTAACATGGTATCTTTCAGCATGCAAACCCTCAAACAAGATTCTTTACAGCTCTGTCCTTGAGACCAAGTGTTGCCTTTTGTTTCATGCCATAAATCTACACAGAGGCATGCAGAAGTGTTTTAAAGGCCTCAGGAGCTGATAATGTGTATTCTTGGCAGTTCTTCAGACCACACAATCAGTCAGCGACTACAGTTCATTATTTCACTAGTCAATTGAAGGAGCCAAAGCCAGATTCTCATTACTGATCTCTCCAAGGTATAGTGGGTCATTTCCCCACCTCAAACTGACCTTGGGGCTGAGGAGCAAATTAGTTTCTCTCCTTTATTCTAGGCTTCAGTTGGGAGTACTCATGAGCGTGAAGCCAGTCAGCCAGTTTCCCATTGCGAACATACAAGAATTAGTTAAATCAGGATGCTGGCATAAACATCTGTATTCTCACATTTTTCTAATTAGAGGTATAGTTTTTCTTAGAATGCTTTTCAAATGGTCAATCAGTGTTTCCCTGCTAATCTCATATAGTGATTTGACTAGAGAGTTTTTTAAATTACTAAATGATAATTCCATTTAAATAAAACTACTAAAAATCGTTGGCTTATTCAAGACAAAGTACATGTGAAAATTATTTTAAAAAATAACAGTTTAGGCTGGGTGGTAATGGTGCATGCCTTTAATCCCAGCAGTTGGAAGGCAAAGGCAGGCAGATCTCTGAGTTCAAGGCTAGCCTGGTCTACAGAGAGAGTTCCATGACAGTTAAGGCTACTCTGAGAAACCATGTCTAATGAAAAACCAAAACCCAAACAAAACAAAAATCAACCAATCAAACAAAAAGGCCCCTCCCCCAAACAACTCCCAACTTATACATTTGTGGAAGGAAGCATACTATATTTCAAAACACAAAAATAATCAAAATTACCCATCTCCTTCTTTCTTTGGTCTTCATTTCATGAAAACATGCAAAGAAGAAAGAATTTTGGTGAGATTTATTGAAGCTTTCAGTGGATTATTTTATACACAAAAATGTTTTTATATTGTCTTTCATGTTCATCTAGAGTGTTGGAGGAACAAACTGCCACCAGAATTTCGATGGTACCTTTAGGAATCATGAATCTTAGGATATAAACATCTTTACGTACAGTTTCTGAACAGGGTTTGAGCCTCAGTTCAAAGACTTTTGTGCCCTTATGCTCTTCTTTTGAAACTTGTTGATTTCTTCAAGGAGGCTGCAAATATATGCTATGTGTCTTCTATGTGGGGTGCAGCTGCCAGGATGTTTTAAAAAAGTATTTTGCAAACAGATTCCTTACCTCCTGAATGCCATTAAGGGATTTGTTTATTCTCAGAAGTGACTTGTCTGAGATTGACCCTGGGAACTAGTGTTTTGCTGATTTCTCTTTGAATTGCTTTAATCAGTTGAGGGACTGGTTCGATTCCCCATGAAAACTTGTGAGAAAGACAACACCCATTTACTGAGTTGGTGCTACAAGCCAAGAATTTTATGAGTATTTTCATTTAATGTTTACAACAGCAGAATCCTCATTTCACAGGCGCTACAAAGGCAGAGAAGACACTCAACTGGACCCAGCAGAGGCAGGATTTGAACTTGGGGTTGTCTCTCTTTAACTTTGTTTTCATTTTGTCACCTCATTCACTGGTATGTGCCTGAGAAAGACATGTTGGTTACCAAAATTACAGACACATTTTAGAATTTGGTTTAGAAGCAATATTAGGTTTTCTCTCTTTATATTTCAAATGACAATTGATGATGAAGACAGTCTCTATATATGATGGGATCAGTGTCAGTGGCATTTCTGCCTGGACTACAAATTCATTTCACTTATCTCCTGATATAATATGGCCTCAGTGGATAGGCTACAGACTTGTTCATTGTGGAATAATCTTTTTGTACACTATGAATACGTGCCAATCTGATTGGTTTAATAAAAAGCTGAATGGCCAATAGCTAGGCAGGATTTTCGGGTCAGAGAGAACTCTGGGAAGAAGGCAGAGTCGCCAGCCAGAGATGGAGGAAGCAAGAAAGCAGCATGGGCAGTAGAGAGTAAAGGTAATAAGGCCATGAGGCAGAAAGTAAGTTAATAGAAATGGGTTAATTTAAGTTCTAGGAGCTACTTAGAAACAAGCCTAAGCTACTGGACAAGTTTTCATAATTAATAAGAAGTCTCTGTGTGGTTATTTGGAAGCTGGCTGGTGGGATAGGAAAAAAATCAGCCTACACTTGTTCCCATGTTCCCTTAGAGACAGAGAATCTGCTGTCCTTCTAAGTGGTACTGCTCTGTGAGGAGAGACTGCCTACAGTCTACAGACATCCATCCAGGGCCTGCCTCTTGCTTCTTTGTAATTTGTAACCCAAGAAGCCAAGGAGAGAGGCCACACTCCTAGGCCCAAACCTTATGCCTGCCAGTGAAAAATTGCTTTGTTGACATAGCCTTGCACCAGCAAATGGAAGTCTTAAAGAAAAACTATTTATTACCACAATGAAGATACGGAGCATGTTCACCAGTGTCAAAGCTTTAGCCTGCCTCTTTGTGATCCCTCCCTTTCACACTCTGCCTCACCATCTCCAAGCAACTACTGATATGTTTTCTGCCACTGTAGATGAGTTTCTGTTTTCTGGAATAGAACATAATGTACTCTTGTCTGGCCTTTCACTCAGCACAGTTATTCTGAGGTACATTCTTGTCATATATGTCAAGAGTGTTATTTCTTTGTCAAGAAAAGTGTCTATCGTGGGCATATTCTAGAACTGCCTATTGCTCTGTTGATGGACAGTTGGCTGTTTTGTTTTGGGCTATTCAAGATAAAGATGCGATGGATGTTTATGCACCAGGCTGAAGAAATGTACTCTACCACTAGTTTGTGTGATTGTTAATAGTGCCCCACACTTGATCGTAGGGATGAAGCAATACTCTAAGTGGTGTTTAACTGCTAACCCTTAAAATGGTATTAATAACGGAGTCCTAACTACCTTCCAATTATGTTGAGAGAATCAGGTGTGGCTGTTCACATCAAGCTATTCATGAAGTTATAAATCAGCTTTTCTACAAATGAGACAAAGGAAAGGCAATGTATGTGACTGATAGGCGCTGATTCATCTGTGGGCATCTGGCCCCGTAACAAAAGTGATATCTGTAGGGGACAGTGTAAGCCACGCCTGCTAGAAGCTGGCCATAGGTGTGTCTGACCACGCCTGCCAGGGCGTGGTCAAGGTGAGGTCAGGATGATGTGTGATAGGTTTTTAAGGGGCTGCAAGGCACATGGGAGCCCCTTCTCTCTGGCCTCCCTGCCTTGCTGCCCCTGGCATGCTCTGGCTTGCGTTTGGCTGGTGTTTTTCTAATAAAGGATATCCTTATCATAAGCTCCTTTTATTTCTCTATGGATATCCTTCATAGTAAGTTTATTTCACAGTGTCCCCAGCATTGGTATCAATGACCAAAGGTTTGGGCTGCTCACAAGTGTATCACTTATTGAACTCAGGGGCCCACATACTTTCCAGTGGACTGAAGTCCTTATGACAGAAGGAAAACTATTGTCAAAATGCAATTAAACTTGTTTTATAAGCATATTTGGCAGAAATAGTAATAAATCCTTACAGAGACAAATATGGGAAAGATTCAGTTTCCAAGCATGTCTCTTAAAAAGTTTTTTACTTGGAAAATTTTATTGTGATTTTCCTCTGAAGTAGTTTTTTTTTTCAATTAGATTTTCATTTGTTGAAGGGAGGCAATAACACACATTTAATCACTCACCAGGAGAGGCATTTTCATCATTTCCTGAAGCTGTAGATTAAAAATTTGTTCTTTAACTGTAGTACTTTATTCAGAAGACCTCGCCATCTATGCAAAATATGTGCCCATCACCTTTGATTATCTCCTCATCCATCTGCCTTCCAGTTGAATACTGCAGAGTGGCATCTTGACACAAAGCAAAGCAAGTTTGCTTTGGGAAATATTAGGACTTTCATCTTTTATCACTCTCCCTTTCCAATATTTCTCTCCTCTGGAGTGAAACAAATCAGAAAGGCCTGACGGCCCTGGGAAACACAGTGGTCACATCTCCTGAGCCCTCCTTTCCAGACAGAAGCTGCTCTTTCACAGTTGCTCTCCTGCTCCAAGACCAGGTGGCAAAGAGCCAGCAAGACTTCCAAAGGCCTGATCTTCCCAAGTCACCTCCTACCTCCCCAGGCATGGAAGTTCATCTGCTTCCACCAGCACTGCTCTGTACCCTGCAGCACACTGTTACAAAGTGCCGTTTAATGATTTTGCCTACGCGTGTTTGAAATAAGGAGAACTTTAAAAATGAAGCAAAAATTCTTGTTTAAACCCATGAACCTGAATGACCGTGCTGTGAATACAGATGGCTACAGACTGGCTTCTGCTGGAGTGTGACCACACACAGCTTTAGTGTGGCATTATTTTATCATTTTACATTTCGAGTCACTACTTTTTGAGCAGAAAGCTTTATCCAGTCCACACACTAGGCAAAATTAAAAACATATATTTTGTGAAGTCTTGCTTTGGACCCTGTGCATTCCATCCCTTCAATCGCTCCACCCATAAAAGCCACTTAAAAAAATCAGATCCACCTGTGTCTCTTGGCTAACGTGATTTATGCCAACGTGGATGAGATTTCGCCTTGCAGAGGACATGAGGCAACCCAGTAGGATAATTGTTACTGTTTTTGATCTGTCTTTACCGAGGTATTTCCCAAAGATTTGCTAATGACATTACCAAGGACTATTGACGGTTGCTATGTAGGGCAGTATTTCTGGCTCTCCTGGGAACAGCATTGCAGATTCTGCACTCTCCCTTCAGCACATGGTTTTCTGTTCTTATTAGAGCTCCATTATCTCAAAAGTATCCAGTCTGTAGGACCAGACTGAGTTAAACAACTCAGGGGAAAGGGGCCTTCTAATCCTCAGGATGTCACTTTTAAGGCAAGCCAGGGAGGAAGTGATTTACAAATTGAGAACAGTCTAATTCTCTCACTTACCCAAATCCTAACACATGGATTTCTTGGAACCCTGGAAGTTTCTTAAATATCTTTTGCAACTGCAGAAAGAAAGAAATGTATGAAATAGTCATTGGCCTTACTGACTCAGATGTTACCAACCAACCAACCAACCAACCAACCAACCAACCAACCAACCCTCTAAACACTTTTGATGAGTCAGTTAAAGGACAGTTGAAAGGGAAAGCTAAAACAAAATGTCAGACTCCCTCTGTTCACAGGTATTTCTGAAGCCAGAGAATATTTTGCTATTGGCTTAAAAGCCATATATGAATAGTTTTGAGATGCTTGAAATATTTATTTTACATAAAGCATGAAATAACTTTAAGATGGTATTTGGAGGGAACCTTTTAAACTACTACATAGAGTAATATACACTTTGTCTCTATAGATGATGACAAGCTAATGATGTTCCCTGGATTGAATTAGAGGATTTGGAAAATACAACAGTAAAGGTATTATTAAATGCAATCAATTAGATTTGTTCTTGGACGTGCCTGGATTTCACAAGTGTTCTCAATATGTGTTTGTTAGTGAGGCTGGCTATCAGGACAGTCTCCCTGGCTCCTCCCTAGGCTTGCAGCCCCATCTCTGTGCCCCCAGATTCCAAGGGAGTGGGTGGCTCTCTCCAAATCTTCCTTCTAGTGGCCTTCTTTGGCTTATACTTCCTCTTCTTTCCCTCTCCGTTCAGTTTTCTTTGCTCCCTCAGATTGCTCTTGTTAGTCTTTGAGTGTCAAGTTCCCACCAGAGTCTTCTCAGTTCTCTTATTCCATAACCTGCCCCATCCAGGCTTTCCTGGGGAAGGCTACAAAACAAGAGGGTCTGACAGGAAGGCAAAGCCAACTAGTAGAGGAGCTCGAGTGGGACAGCAGGGGAACTAGAGAGGCCGGCCTTGTCCTCCTGTCCCTGCCTCTCTGTGATCTGTCATCCCCCTCGTGGGGAAATCCAGTTTTCTCCCCTGGTTTCAGCTCTCTCCTTATATCCAGTCTTGAGTTCTTCACACAAGTATCATTTTCCTCTCCAAATCTACATTATTTCCAGACTTCTTCATGTTAGACAAGCTTAAAAGTTCCCAGTTAAATGTTTTCTCTCATGAGTTGCCTTTGTCTCTTCACAGCAATAGAAAAGTAAGACTTACTTCTTTCTACTGTTATCCCATTTATGAGTAGCCTATAGTTGGCCTTCTAGTGAACTGAAGAGGAACTCTGTCCTTCCCTGTTTATAATGGGCACTTCTATTTCTCCAGAGCCCCATGAATTACTTTCCCTCTGCCCACAGCACCAATCTCCTCACTGCCTGTTTCTACTCCCGCAACACAGCATGCTCATCTTCTGCTCACTGACTGCTTCCACTCCAACACAGTGTAGGGCCCAGGGTGACTTGGTACACACTTGCTGCTTTGCTCCACTGCTGCCATTCCAAGGCTCAAGTAGGCTTGAGTTTTCAGTTTACTCTGAAGCAATACCAGGGAAAGACCACAAACCCAGGAAAGGATCATCCAAGGGGAAAATACCAAGAGAAATTCCTAACGTTCCAACCATTGTAGATAGGGTCATCTGATGTCCTTTATCCTAGAACACACCTATCCCCTTTCACCAAGACACCCTTAGACAAATGTCAGCCAATCAAGGTCTTGAACCCTGAAATCCCTTTACTCCCAGCCTCTACTATGATAAAACCCCTACCCCGCCTGGGCTGGGCACTCTGCTCAAAACTGCTATGTCACACAGACAGAGAGCCCAAGCTCCAGCTTAAATAAAGGCTCTTTTCTTTTACATACTGGGCTCCTTGTTGTTTGTCTCCTTGTTGTTTGTTGGAGGATTCTGAGATCTGGGCATGACAATAGCAGGCTCCTTGTTGTTTGTCTCCTTGTTGTTTGTTGGAGGATTCTGAGATCTTTGAATGACAATAGCCCCCCCCCCCCTTCTTCTGTTCACTGACTGCTTTCACTGAGCCTCTCTCTACTGAAAAGTGAGAGTTTCAAGACTCAGGTGCAGTTCGGAGCATTTCTTCTCTCCACCAGGCCACATCTCTCAAGTGTACCATCTAAGTTCTAGGAGGTGCATGCCCTTTGGCCTAGGGATGGAGTCCTGTTTATTCATCTTTATTCCCCCTGGCTCTTAGAATTCACTGGATCTTCATCCACACAGAAGGAATTTCACAATATTGCTTGATGAGCTGAGTTCATCTCTTCATTCTCTAAACTCATCAACATGCCACTGGGTTGTCGCTGTATCTAAAATCACCGCTGTGCCCCATCTCCAGTGCCAAGGACTGTAGCAGTGATGCGAAGATAGATAGATAATCCCCAATCTCCTATGGGGTTTTGGGCTGCATCATGGAATTTTTTTTCCAGGAGACTGATTTACCTTCTAATTATATTTTCGTGTGCCAATATTAAAAATAGTTTTCATTTCCTGAACCTATAGGAACTCTGGTGATGAAAGCAGCTTAGTCTGGATGATAAGAAGATATTCTGCAGGCTGGGTTTAAATATTGGTGCTATCACTTTCTAGCTGCAAATTCCCGAGTTTATTGCTTCATCTCTGAGTCGTGCTCTTTTGATCAAAATGGGACATGATACCCATGCCACACGGTATCAGTAAGGAATGAGAAAAAAAAAAAAAACACAGTCCGTGATGCTAATAATTTATTAGTAATTTTTGTTTTCTACTTTTCCACCGGGAAAAGTCTGGGAGTCTCATCCGCACCCCCAGCATGGATTCTCCAAGGAAGATCCAGCTTTTAGACAGTTTTTTAAAGACTGGGGTGGGGTGGGGCTAGATGGAGGGTCCCCACTGTGATGTCGGGGAAGGAAGCCTGGGGAAGTAAGTTTATATGAGTCTCCCTTACTCTGTAATGAGCTTAACAGAGAGGAACCAGGGGGAAAGGAGAGGCTAGGTTCTTCGGGGCTGGGCTTTATTAGGGAGCTCATAGGAAAGGTTCAGGCCTACTCTAGTGTCCTGTGGGAGCAGTTTTGGAAGCACAGTGAATTTGGGGTGTGAAGGCTCAAGTATGTGATTCAGTGTTTGGAGCAAGGCATAATGTTGTGGACTTATTATTCTCTTTATAGAGACACTAGTCTATTGTGTGAGCAGTTAGTGAAGCAGGGAAGTGCCTCCATGGAAGCTGCCGTTTCAGTGCTCCTGGGGGCTGTCTTCCCTCCCCTCTACGAGTGCTCCACAGCAAAGGATTGGATGTAGGAGATTTTTTTTTTTGTTTGTGTCCATGCCCTCTTGGTGAAGCTGTCTGAGTTTGATTAAGAATCAGCTTTGCATCAGAGGGTGCAGATGGTGTCTAGGGACATGATGACAAAAGTCTTCAGTTAATTCTGCTAAGTAATCTAGTGGGGACCTTCCAATCATGAAGCACTAGCCACTAAATTGCTAATTAAGTGCCCACTTAACCTTATTAATAATACTAAATGCACAGGGGTCTCCCTGATTCTGCCAGAACGTATGTTAATGGGCTATAAAAGAGTAGCTACAGCTGAGTTTCGCCGAATGTTTGCACAGGAGAAAGCATCCAGACAACAACCATGTGATTCCTTTTGACATTTGTATTAAATTCCTCATTAGGTTTATTGTGGAAATTAAATCACTGTAAAGCACTGTCAATTAATTCCTGATTAGGCCCAAATGACTGCTAATACAGGCTATGGGGGGGAAACATACTGATTGGGTTTCTAAGGCAGACCTTGGAGTGGTCCTACTCAGGAGCCAGTGAGGGGACAGTATAATAATCCAGGCAGACCTGGCCCTGGCACTTAAGAACCTGGCATAGTGCCTCTGTGCCCTTCAAGTTCTGTACTCAGGTATTGGGGTCTCTTTACAAGGCAAACTCTGCCTACTTACTCTCTCTTCCCTCTTCTATCGTTATGCTCTCTTAGTCTCTCTCTCTCTCTCTCTCTCTCTCTCTCTCTCTCTCTCTCTTCTTTTTCCTTATTCCCCTTCCTTTCCCCAATAAACCTTCCAATAAACCTCCCCAATAAACATAAGTCTCATCTACAGGTCTCTGTCTCCCACCCAACGTTTGTCCCTCTACAAAGATGGGACCCACTAGTCCCACCTTCGTGCTGTATTATTACAGACACGAGATATAGAAGACTGTGCCTTAGGTAATGGTAGACTTTAGAAAGAGCCAGCAGTACTGATGTGATACTCTTTGGAACAAAGTTGGACAAGACATAGACTTCTTAGTTATGTTGGATCAACTCTTGTTCTAGTAATTGATGAATAAACATCATAATTATGTCTAACTTAATGTCATGTATTTAAATTGCAAAGATAGTATTGGTGATGTAGTGGTAAACATAGATTTCTTTCAAATTACAGAAGTGAAAATATTAATAGGGATATAATATTATGAATTGAAAATTTATAATTAAAATCCATTAGATTCTCTAGTTAGCACATAATCTTTGAAAATTTTAATCAGTTTTACTGATAATCAACATATAAAATGATGAAAGCATTTAATTTGTACCTTGATGAATTTTTGGAAAATTGTATACTTATGAGGCATTACCATGATGACAATTTACATATGTAGAATATTTGTGGATTTAGTTAAATGAGTTCTAAACTTACTAAAAATTAGAGATAATTTAAACATAAACAACATTGACCAATGGAAAAGCTGGACTGGACAATTGCCCCAGTATTTTGGAATTTAATATGTGTTAGTTTCCTTTTTAGTGGCTAACAATGGATGCCTGGTGGTCATAAAAAGTTGAAGATAATAGCCAAAGTATGCATAATATTCTGTTGGCTTGCAGACAGTGCCATGACTTGCGGTGTGGATGTGCAGGCTGAGTCCACTCACCTGCAGTTGGGACTGTCCCACCAGCTCCTGATAGGATGGGGATCCAGAGTTGGTGAGCTCTGCCTTGAACCTGTGGTTTGGCAGAGAGATACTGAACTCCACCTTCTCCTCTGGTGAGATTTCAGACACATGAGTGGGTTCTGTTTTGATTTCCTAGGATAAAAAAAGAAAAGCATCTCTATTAATATAAACCATACATAATCTACTATATTAAATCATATATGCTGCTATTACATCAAGAATTGGACGATGAAGGTCCAAGTGGTTTTGGAATAGAAGTCCTGCTCATAATGAGTTGCTTCTAAATTTTAGTGAGAGACAAAGTGAGACACTACTGGAGCTACATTGGGTTGGTTCTTTATATACTAGAGACTGGGTCTCACTCTGGAGTTCAGGCTGGCCTTGAATTTGAGGCAATCCTCACATTTTACTTACTTATTTACTTTGAGTCAGTCTCATTATTGCCCAAGCTATTCTCAAACTTGCTATATAGTTAAGTCTGGCCTTGAAGATCCTCCTGCCTATGCCCTTCCCGTGTCATCATCCAGCTTCAACATATTTTAGTAACACATGGTAATTGTCTATACTTAAAGGGTTCAATGTAATGTTTTGATATATGTTTATAATCTAGGAAGATTGTATCAGGCTTTTTAATATATCAGCATATAGAATTAAAAAACATCTTTTTGAGTGTATGTTGAAAATGTTAAAATCTATTCTCCTAGCAACTTTGAGGTATATAATATGGTTTCTCTTATTGAAGTCTGCATTCTGTGTAACAGCTCACTGAAGAGGATTCCTCGGGTTTGACTGGAATCTGTGCCTTTTTGTTCAGTGTTCACATTCTCTCCTCTTCTGGACTCTGGAGGGATTGATTGTTCTCCTTAGAGTACACACACAAAGAAAAAAAACCCACGTATTTTTAATTGCTTCAAACCTAGTATCTTCAGAGACTCCCTATCACTTGTGGTTACAGCCTAGACCCTTTGATCTCCACATTTAATGTTTCCAGTCTTATTCCAATCTGCTTGGGAAAATTCATTTTCATTCTGAAGCCCTGATTGGTAGATTAATAAAAGGCCATGTTCTCCTGCTTTTCTCTTCCTAGAGAGTCTTCTTAACTCCCCCCCCCCTCCAGCAATAGCACCGTCCCCTCTCATTCTCTCTAATATGCATTTGGCTCACTTTATGTTTTGTCTGAAGTAATATTTCTCCAATCTGGAGTCTAGAAATCTTTGTCTCCCCTGAACTCCATTGCCATTGATTGCCATTTCAACCTCTTGTTTGGTACCTACTCATGTACTTACCTGTTGTCCTTTCTCTATATGCAAGTCTTGTTGGTCCACACAATACTCTGCTGTACAAAATTCCCCAAAGCATAACCAAGGGGTTCTTTATGGATCATACTTAGTGAGTAAGCTCGCTTAAGGTATGCCCCTCCTACAACCTGTCCTGGTTTATCATTTCGTCCCAACCTTTCATCCTGTCACCTTTAATCAGCACACAGGAGAAATGACATTTTCTTCTCTTTGGATCTAAGTGGAAGCAGTTTAATCACAGCACCCAGAACATTCTGTCATATATAATTGCATATCTGTTTCTTGGTGCAGGAGTTGTCTTGCTTATCTTGGGATGTTTGATATACATCCCTAGTCTTGGCACATCAGTGGACTTCAGTAAAATGTTTGCTGAGTGGAAGAATGGGCCATACATACAAATTGTAGAGGTTGCTCCTCAAGGGGTATGGCAGATGTCAGATGAAATATGTGGGAATATTTACACAGAGGGAGGTACCTATACCAGATATTGAAGGAAATGGGACACAGGCAATGTGAAGAAAGAGGAAAGAAAGACTCATTATGATGGGGGAACATCCTTCTGTATATATGTTTCTCTTATTGGTTGATGATTGTCCAGTAGCCAGGCAGGAAGTATAGACAGGGCTACCAGACTAGAAGAATTCTGGGAAGAGGGCAGAGGGAAAAAGCCGAGAGAGAGATGCCATGTAGCTGCTAAAGGAGTAACATGTTGGAGCATTCTCCAGTAAGCCCAAACCACATGGAGATACACAGATTAATAGAAATGGGTTAATAATTAAGAGAGAACTAGTCAATATGAAGCCTAAGCCATTGGCCAAACACTTTATAATTAACATAAGCCTCTGTGTGTTTACTTGGGACTAAATGGCTGCTGGACCAAGCAGATCAGAAAGTTCTGTCTACATAGTTATCCTACAAATTTTATGCTAAACATTTTGAATTAGAAACTACTTTTCTGCAATAGCACTTTGCCTGTTAGTGAGGCAGAGTTTTTCAGAAAAACACATTATTTTTATTCCTTGTTCACAGCAATAGTTCAGCTGTACCTGCTGCCATCTTGCCTGAAGGACACATAGAGTAGCCAGCAGGATGCTCATCAGGATTTCTCATACAGAGCTGGTAAGATGGATTTTTTTTTTTTTTTGCCCTCACCTTGCCTTGTGCCTTGGAGGGAAATTGAAAGGATGGGGGCAGGGAAAAAAACATAGATTCCAGGGGAGAGTAGGTGTGACTGCAGCAACAGTGGAAGGATGGGAAGTTCTGGCTTGCCATTCTTTGCACAGCCAAGTCCACTTCTCATGAGCAATAAAGGCAATGTTTCTCTGCTTCAGCACCGTTTGGATCTAGGTTTTGGGAAGGATCAACACTTCCCTATGTTGATATTCTAAACAACTCTCACAGCTGCACCAGTTCACATGCTGGCCAGTGTGTCTTTTAGCCTTAGGTCTCTGTTTCTATTTTTCCCTGGCTCTATGCAGAGGATTTGACACATTTGGTGCACATGTCAGACACTAAAATTTGACTCTTGCTTCCAACAAGGCTTATATTTTAGTAGAGAGGAAGTGAGTTGATTGTGATTGATTGATTTTAACGCTTGGGAAGCATTATTACCATAAGTATCTGTACTGGGGAGAAGGGTTTCTGCTTGCTTCTTGCAGTTCTCCCTATTTTCTCCTAATCCTCAACCTATTTATTCCTGCAGTCCTTAGAATGCCATAAGAATAGGGAATAGAGGAAAACCCACAAAAACAGCTGACCTAGCAAGTGGGAGCTCACAGACCCCAGTCTGACAGCTGGTGAACCAGCATAGGACCAAACCAGGCCCCCTGAATATGGGTGTCAGTTGGGAGGCCTGGGTAGTCTATGGGGCCTCTGGCTAGTGGAACCAGTATTTATCCCTAGTGCATGAATTGCCTTTGGGAGCTTATTCCCTATGGAGGGCTACTCTCTCAGCCTAGATACATGGGGGAAGCCCTAGATCCTGCCCTGAATGATGTGACAGACTTTGATAGGGAGTGGATGGGGGTGGGATGAGGGGGTTGGTGGAGGGCATGGAAGGATGGGAGGGAGAGGGAACTGGGATTGGTATGGAAAGTAAGGTTGTTTTTAATTTAAAGAAAAACTTATTTAAAAAAGAATAGGGAATAGAATAAAGTCACTGAGATTGCAGAGTGATGCAAAATGTTGAGTATCTGAACCATCCTTTTTCCTGTTTTAAGAAAGAAAACAAACCAAGGCTAGAGACACAACTCAGCTGGTAAGTGCTTGCTGTATAAGACTGAGGTTATGATCTCCAGAATCCAAGGAAAAGTCAAGGATGCATGGAAGTCCACCTATAATCCTAGTGCACATCTGCCCATATACATGTGCACATGCATACACATAGGCATGCATACCACCCACACATAGATAGGAGAAAAAATAACAAAAAAGAAGACCAGACACATGCATGAAAAACTACTAGCTCTGAACTTCTTACTGTTGTGGGCTTCTGGATGTCTTTGAGGGTGCCACTGAGAATCTCGTTGAGAGCTGTGTCATCAAGAGGGAGTGGGAAGGGCCTCATCGACATGCTGGCAACATCTATAGAAATTAGAAAGATTTCAGCCATAAAAAATAAGACTGTAAAGAATTTAAATTAGAGCAAGGTCAAGATTCCATAATTCCATATGTCAGATAAATGCATTCTGAACTCAGTTTTCAATGATCCCATACATATATATCTTTGAAAAAAATATGAAGTCACACTTTCAATATCCACTAGGTTATTCCTTGTGGGGCCAAAATTTGGTGTTCCACTATATGTTGTACGGGTAGATGACTTGTCTAATGAGACCTGATTAGTGTTTCTCTTTGTGTCCGTTTAAAGGATGTAAAGACAAGTATTTATATTGAATCTGTTCTTTTGGACATTATCTGAGAACATTACCCACATCTTTAAAGTCTAGATTGCTCTAGTTTTTAAAAATTTAGATCATGGACTCCAAGAAATGAAACAACATTAAGATGCTATCAATTACCCTATTAGTTTCTTTTTTTGAGTTTTTATTTATTTTATTTGTATGAGTATTCTGCCCTCATATATGTATGTGAATCAAGTGAGTGCCTCTTGCTTACAGAGGTAGAAGAGGGTTTTGAATCCTCTGGAACTGGGGTTTAGTAAGATCATGGGTTACCATGTGAGTGCTGTGAACCAAACTTATTTCCTTTGTCAGAGCAGCACTGAGCCATCTCTCCAGTCCCTCAAGCCACCATGTAAAGCATCCCTTTTAAAGCAACCATCAAAACAGTTGAGATCCCTGGGAAAAATTAGAGACATTTGAAGATTCCAGTAATGGAAGTCTAGCTTCTATTTAAGAAGTAAATCATTTTAACCTATGTGTATTACTATTTTTTATAAATTATAATTATTTTTAGAAATGTTCAAGAAAAATACTGTTATGATTAATTAGTTTATATTTAGTCAGAAATTGCTTTCCTTTCTATTTTAATTAGGCAAAAACATAAAATGTATTGGTTTAGTTTTGAACATTAGGAAAGAGGATATATCAATAAAAAACGATTTGCTCTTTCCTCATTCCCCCAAGTATTTTTAAGTGTTCTTTAGCTCTGTGAGCATCTATGAGGTCATTGCAGTTAGTGTGGAATTGTGGATCTTTACTGAGTTATCTGGAGAAATGACTTAAAGTACATTTATGCATTATTATTATTCTTTTGAGTGAGTAGTTTTATTAGAAAGGGGAGGGATGGGGAAGGAAAGAGAAAAGAGAAAAAGAGATACAGAGGCACAGAGAGAGGACAGAAGAGAAGAGGAAGACAAGGAAAGTCCTGTCTGCCCCAGGGGAACTGGGGAAAGAGAGAGTGGGAAGAAAAGAGAGCTATGTATTATTTTTTAAAGATTTATTGTTTCATGTGTATGGTTGTTTTGCCTGCATGTATGTCCTGTGTACCTCATGTGTGACTGGTGCCTGCACAGGTCACAAGAGTGTAATGGACTCCCTGGAACTGGAGTTACACAATGGGCCACTATTGTGTGATGTTTAAATTGCCTACATCTATTTCCTTAAACATTTATCATTTCTTTGTGAAAATCAAAACCATTGTTTTCTTTTTAAATACACAGTAATTTATGATTACCTATAGAGTCACCTTGTTGTGTGACAGAGTATTGGAAAAGGTGATCCTTTTGGGTAAAAGAGTCCATGCCATTGGTTGATTGGGATCTGGAAGGACAGTACCACTGTCCTTTATAGGACAGTATCTCTTCCTGTATAGCTGCAACTGAACAGTCTGCTGCAGGCACTTTAGTTGGAGAAATTCTCCACTGTAGCAGGCTTTTTGAGGCCACCACTCCCCAAATTATGATATGGAGACTTATTATTAGTTATGCATGCTCCTATCTTCACTTCCCATAAATTGGTTGCTTGCTCCACCTCTTGACCTATGGGTGATTTTATTTAATTCCATTTACAATATTCAAGCAGAAAGTTCTTGGAGTAAAGATGTGTTGTAGGGCTAAGCCACACCACAACTAGAAACAGGTTTTTTCCCAGTAAGTAATGCAATCTGGTTCACTATATGATCAAATATCCTGCAACATTTATATGCAATAAATATACATATTCTATAGTTTCTAGTTTTACTCATTGTGGTCAGATAGAACAATTTCTGGAAACCACTAGGCAAAAATCTATGAAAATAAAAACTTAGTATCATTTTCTATATAGTGCAAGGATTGAACGCAGGGCCTCAAGCTAGGCAAGCACTCTCCACTAAGAGATGTTACTAACCCCAGAAACCAGTTATCAGTTTAGCACTGTCCCTTGAGAAATTAGTGATGTGAAAGGTATTTAGGCTTAAATGTGTGACCAAACAGTATTTGTTAACGCATATAGATATTTCACAATAGAACCCAAACTTCTAGAAATGAGCAAGTGAATCATAAATCGTACCAGCTTTCACCAAGGTGTGCTTTGTAAATACTTTTCCATGATGGTTTGGATTAAAAGTTGGGAAATGAAATGAGGTATAAACTTACCTGTGGATAACTCAGGGGTTTCAGTAGGCTCTGACAGTGTCTCTTCTGAGGTTATTTCATCTTTTCTGTTAGCACAAAAGAAAAGAAAAAAGTGGTAAAGAGGAACTCAATAATAGGGAGCCTACATTTGAGTTCACCTATACTATATAGACTAAATGTTAGAGAGAAAGTATATTTTAGTCTAGATTTATCTGTTTTTATTGCTGAAGTAATATTTGAATCTATGTGTATCTACATCTATGTCTATATCATTGAAGAAAAATTCAAACAACCTCTTCTAAAGACCTGACTCCTGGTCTTTCTCTCAGACTCTTGACTTTGTGTAGTCTCGGGGGGGGGGGGGGGCAATTCTACAGTAAGCAAATTTGAACTTCATTTGGGTCCTAATGTCCTATTGTCCCACGGCACATACAGTATTCTTGATATAAGAAGCAATGAGTGACATAACTGGGCACTGGAATATTTCTTCCAAGTCTCAGACTCCTGTGAGTGTACATATCCAACAAAGAACTGTTGGAGTTAAAGGAATGGGAGAAAATTAGTTTCTGAATAGTTCAGGTTTATTAAGTCTGTATTCTTTGCACAAGATAGCTAACCAGAGAGTTGGGGTCAAGACTTCAGATCCTAGGATGGCAATATGGGAGATATTGTAGGGTCGGACCCAAGGTCTCAGTGGCAGAGCTGCCTGCATATTCACTATCAGTCTATTCTTGATGGGAAATAGCAGAAAAGAATTGTGGGAGTGATAAACTTTTAGATCTCACTGAAAGACTTGTTTCTCTAAGCTGTTAGGTCCTGATTGACGGCATATGTTTTAGCATAATATACAGTTTTCTGTGGATCATGATGAGAGAGAGGTAAAGAGATGATCAATGCTCTGCTCTTACAGAGTGATCTGGACTGCACAGAGCCAACACTGCCTCCCACACACCTCTGCCATGCCAACACTTTCCAAAATGCTAGCAACTGTATGCATTCTGACCAATTAGAATAGATGTTTGAGCTTGGGAGATGGGTCAGTGGGTAAAACACTTGCTGTGCAAGCATGAAGACCTGAACTTGGACCCCGCCCCCCCAGCATCTATATAAAATGTGGACACAGAGGTATGGGTCTATAATCCCAGCACTGTGTGTTGGAGACAGGTAGATCTAATGGGTTCACTAGCCAGCCAGCCTAGCTGAAACAGAAAACTCCATTTTTAGTAAGAAACCATGTCTTAAAAGTAAAAGAAAGTAGAGAGTAATGGTGGAAGACAATGACATTGACCTTTAATCTCCACATGTATAGCACAGGTGAACATACCTGTACACACATGTGCACATACATTCCTACATCACACACATACACACAACTGAAACAATGGATGTCAGTTGTAGAAGTGCATAAGTACATTGGTAGATCCAGAATAATATAAACTTAAATTCTACTGGAATTTGAAATCAGTCATTCTTACTATTTTTCTGGTGATCTGCTTTATGCTTAAAAACAGCATTTGTCGAGATGATATTTAAATGTTATACACTGTAGCATTTACGATTTAGACAAAAATTTCTTTCCTTTTTATTTTATAGACCTTTGTTTGTGCCAGGCCTTCCTCTCAGGACTTACTCAGACTCTCCTAGTTCCATGCTGCTGTGAAAGAATCTAAGAAACAGGAGGGGAGTCACTGCAATGGCGGTCTCTGCTTAGTTTCACATTAGCACCCCTGTGTGTGCCGCACTCTTGGGTGGTATCTTTATCCTCCGCCATCACGTGTGATCTTCCTCTAAGCTGGCAATTTGAAGTACCCACCAGAAGCTCTGGTTGGCAATCTGAACGGGGTACCTGGTTCTTGTACTGACCTTTATTTCAAAGCCATTTGGAATTGGCAGAATTCTATGGACTATTCAGGGAGTGAAATTTCTCTTTTCTGCTTGGAAAGGTTTTATGTGAAAGAGAGGCTCTCCTTTTACCTGCCTTTGTGTCTGATGCTGCTATGAATGTGAGGCTTTCCTTCCTCTTTGACAATGTTGTGGGCACAGGCAGGGATACAGAGAGTTTTTCTCTGTCTGGAAGAATTGAATGGCTCATAATTTTTCATGTTTCTCTATCAAGAATTAAAATATTTTGTGATATCTTTTCATGTGGGTGGCCTCTTCTTCTTAGCTCTAAGGCTTTTTTGTTTTCTTTTTGGAAAGTAGGAGTCAGTAAACTATCGACCAATATTTAAATCAGCAGAGAATATTTCAGTGTCTTGTGAACAAAGTCCGTAGTGTAGGCCTAAGCATTTCCCAGGTCATGCTGTCACTCCTGGCAATAGCTTGTTGAATCGAGTGAGGGTAGCTCAGCACACTACTTGATTACTAAAGCAGGAGACAGCAGCACCGCTGTCTCATACACCAGGTGTAGAGTATCACATGGGTCCTGCTGCTGAGGAGGAGTTTGTACTTTCACGGGAAAGCAGGAAAGTGACAGCATTTAGAGACTCAATGACCCTATTTTGCTCTCTCCAGTGGCTGGTCCTACCCAGAAGCCAGAGGCCAAGAGATGCCATTGATGCCCTTCTTAACGAGTGGCTTCCTGTGCACAGATGTGGGGTGGAGAGACAGGGAGTGGGATGTTCAGACGACAATGGGGGACAATGAGGGAACATTTTGAGTGGCATCAGACAGGACTCAACATACAAAAGAAATATTCAAGATTTATTAATCTAGAAGTAGTTTTGTCAAAGAGGAAAAATAACAGTGGGATATCTATTGGGGGAGATCAGATGACACCCCCCTCAGTAAACTGACTGAGCTATGGAACAGGTTGGTGGAAAAGAGACAAGAAACGCAGCAAAAAATGTGAAAGGCATTTTGAAGTATTTCCTGTAACTCATATGTCTAAATATGTATGATTTCAGCATGTCATCAACTGTGTGTGATTTGTGAGTTTGAGTTTGGCAACAGCATCTCTCTTCTTTAATCATTTTAGCTAATGCTCTCTCTTTCTCTCTCTCTCCCTCCCCCACCACTGTGTAACTAAATTTTCTTATTTGATATTCAACTCTTGTTGAGGATATAGCTCAGTGCTTCAGTAATTTAGTTTGAGAAATGCTAACACTTTACAGAATACCAAATGAGAGTTCAAAATTCAGGTTGCTCTCTGATCATGTTACGTATTTTCCTGATGTAACTAATAGTTTGCTGTAAGTCCTAAAAATTAAACTTTTAATTGATCTAGACTCTTTAGGTGAAAACACATATTAGATGCATATCACACAGGAGGCATCCCATTTCCTTTCAAGCATCTATCTCAGTCTGTCAGGTCTGTCCCCTTTCCTTCCCTGTGCTCATTTATCTTCAGTGCAATATATGCATACATTGTCTGCCTCAATAACTTAAACAGATCTTGGTGGCTGACAAATCATCAAGGTACACTCCATTATATGATCTTTTGAAAGTCAAGAGCACCCAGCATTCTATTTTGGGTACTTACCTCCCAGGGAAGCTTCTCTGTTTTATTCTCTGAAAAAAAAAAGATAAAAAGTAATTTTACCCAGAGATAATGCCAACTGAAGAGCTAGAGTCTATTTTCATTCCCTCTGACTTCAGCTACATTTCAACCTGCCTGTACAATATTATTTTTCAGGAATAAAATTCCTGTCTGTCTTATTAGCTGTCTCTAAATATTTTGTCAAGTAACCCTCATGTCTTGGAAACCATTTCAAAGGGGCAGGGGGACTGGAGTCCTAGCTACTGCTGGGGCATTGTGCAGGCTCACCTGCTGAAGAAGATCCAGGTGCTCCTGGGAGTTGCTGAAGTTTTTCCCAATGTCAAAGAGGCAGAAGGTCTCCTTCTGGCAGATGCTGACCCAGTCTTGATATTCCTCTGTGTCTGGAATGCGATCCAGAAAGATCCGATATGCTTCCCACACTATTTCTTGACACACTATAACACACAGCAGTTAGGGGTATAAAATGGAAAAAAGCCTTTTCCCCCAAGCACACAGTCTCATAATACAGAAAGTGTTTTCAGGCTAATGCTAACACACTAATTTACAGCTGTGATAGTGTGATTTATCAATCTAGAATCAGAGAGTACCAAGAAGGGATTGTCTTGTCTATATTATGTTGACCTATGGGCATATCTGTGGGGGGTTATCTTGATTGCACAATTGATGTAGGAACCCCCACCCCATGGATGAGGGCATTCAGTGAATGGGATCCAGGAAAAAATGGAGAAACTGAGTATAACATTAACATGTACTCATCAGTTCTTTGCTCTTCTCTGCCATCATCCTTCTCAAGTCTCTGCCACAATGAACTATAACTTGGAATTTAGCCAAATAAACTCTTCATCCCTTGCCCTAGCTTTTTTTCCATTGCTGTGATAAAGACCAGGACTGATTTCCAAAATATACAAGGAGCTCAAGAAGCTAGCCACCAAATCACCATACAATGAAATTAAAAAGTGGGGTGCAGAACTAAACAGAGATTTTTCAACAGAGGAATCTGAAATGGCTGAAAGACACTTAAGAAAGTGCTCAAAATCCTTGGCCATCAGAGAAATGCAACTCAAAACAACTCTGAGATACCACCTCACACCTGTCAGAATGGCTAAAATCAAAAATACCAATGACAACCTATGCTGGAGAGGTTGTGGAGAAGAAGGAACACTCCTCCATTGCTGGTGGGAGTGTGAACTTGTAAGACCACT